TTGTTACAGCTGCCCTACAAACAGATCTGGCTTTTCTGAGCTATTATCTGTATTCCTGAGTATTTCAGAGGCATTAATATCTGTGTTGAAAATCCCCAACGCCTTGGTTGATATGAATTTCAGGATGAAAAACTATTACTGGAAACAGCATTAAACTTAAGTGAGCAACAACACTGGGTGATGTTTGGTTATTTATTCAATTTAGACAGCCACTCATCTCACATATTGTGACTATGACTGGCTCACAATTGTTAAAACAGCACCAAAGAACNATCTATCTATCTATCTATCTATCTATCTATCTACCATCTATCTTCCAAAAATGAATTTTCAGGAATAACAAAGCGTATTAAAAAATTTAGTATGTAATTATGTACTATTGAGTAGCTTTTTTAAAAAAAGTGTAATAGGATCATCCCTCTTGTAAGCAATATTGATGTGTTTGTGATAGTGATAGTGATGCGAATGATCAATATTATTTGTAATGCAATGATTAAGCACACAGTTCAACTTTTACTGCATTATGTATTGGAATATAAATAGCCTTGTAAAAAAAAGTTAAGAAATACTGCTCAACTTTGACAACCTTACAAAGCAAACAGAGTTAAACAAATTTCAGTAACTGAGAGATACTGTATATTAGATAGTGGGTTCCTTCAGCATGTCAAGCAACAGTTTATTTAACCATCATGTTTGGCTTGTTTGGGGAGACAAAAGAGATTGGCATCTTTTTGTACAGATTTGGATAGTGTACCAAAAGAAGACCAGTTGAGCCAACAGCAATGATTGTTATTAGAGAAACTGAGATTGCTTTCTGGACTGAATGCCCTATTTGCTTAACAGTAGATCTGGCTCTCTTTGAAGCTAAAGCTCTCACAGAAAGGATTCAAGCACTGGTGTAAGGTTTATTTGTTTGTTTGTTTATTCATGGATTATCATGTTCCTGCAAATTGAGCCACTGGGGTTTGCAAATCAATTTTATGCCCAAGCACAACTTGGGAATCCAACCATTGTGATTTCTACAGCAAACAATAGTTAAAACAAATATCAGCTTACCAAGACATACTCCCTATTCCTCCACAGCACTTCTGATTGTTCTGACCTAGGCTTCTCCCAAAAGCATGAGAAAGAGTCCTGGTCCTAACAAAACCCCTTTTATTAAACGAATATGAATTCATCTCATTCACATTCAGCAAAGGCCTGGCAAACAGTCTTTCAAAGGAATATATATGACTACAGACCTTATCTACAGTATCTTGGAAAGCTGCCACGTAAATATTTTCCAAATGAGATTCTGTGCAAAGAAAGACTGGGCACAGAGTCTCTGAGATTCACGGACAGATCTTCATACTTCTGAAATGAATCTAATGACTGAACAAACACATTTTTCCCTGCAAAAGCCCACTTTTGGAGCCGAGGTGGCGCAGTGGTTAAATGCAGCACTGCAGGCTACTGCTAGATCAGCAGTTCAGCGGTTCAAATCCCACCGGCTCAGGGTTGACTCNCCCTGAGCCGGTGAGATTTGAACCGCTGACCTGCTGATCTAGCAGTAGCCTGCAGTGCTGCATTTAACCACTGCGCCACCTTGGCTCATAAATGAATACAATCACTCCCTTTTCCACTTTTAACTTGCTTTTATGCTGATAAGTCCAGACAAATTCTTTAAAGTATTGGTCTTCCTCCAAAATATCAATACTAGCTCTTCAAAAACAATTATGCCAGTAACATTCTTTTTTTTTTTTTTAGATGAAATCTTTTTAAAAACCTTACTTGAACAATATAAGACAATTGGCTTTTTCCTCCATTCATTCCATACTAATTAACTACTTGGAGAAAAGTGCTATTAGCATGACCATATTATTTTATCATTCTGAACAGCTACAGATACAATTACAGACATGAGATATCCAGGAGAGGTCTTATGGTAAGATAAACTGAAGCCATATTCTTAAACAACAGATACTAAAAAGATCTTTCTTGGCATTGAGATACCACAATATATTTGTTTATTAGGTTTTTATGGGAAGATGTAATATTCTTCCAGAGCTGAGTTTCTTATTATCATTAAATTGATCACACGCTATAGTATTTCCATTCTGCTAAAGATATACTGCATTGATCTACTGCACCTTCCAGCATGAATCTAGTCACTGATGGCCTGTGTTATATTTATCCATTTTCATCTTACCTCAGGTTGAAAATAACTGCCTGTTTATTCAAATCCTCAGTGAAATCATTTATGATCCAAGGAAGTAGACTCATCTGAATCATCCAGAACAGTTGAAGAATGAGTTATATTAGGAACCATGTACTTCTCCAAAATGGCAGTCCAGCTTTCATTAACTCAGAGTCCACCAAATCTATTTAACCTCAAGACAACGCCAACTGGGGATTATGAAAATTGAATCCAACCATCTTTTGTAATCCTTGTTCACTCCAGATAAAACAAAGTTAGCTGCCACCAGAGAAATTAAGTGCTAGTATGAAGCCCTTCAGCGAGGGGCTGATATCACATTTTTACTCTCATGTGTGAACTCCTTGTCACATAGGAATGCTTCCAGCACTCTGGAGGTGATGATAGATGATAGATAGATAGATAGATAGATAGATAGATAGATAGATAGATAGATAGATAGATAGACAGACAGACAGACAGACAGACAGACGATAGGCAAAGACATAGATAGATATAGAGATGATATACTGTATAGATAATAGACAAACAGACAGATAGTTAGATAGGCAGAGAAATAGAGATAGATATATATATAATATAGACTATGGATGTCAAACATAACGTATCCAGACTTTTCCCCCCTTTGCTAAATTGGGTGTGGGTATGGCCAGCGTGTGACGCTTCTGGCCCACGGGCCACGAGTTTGACTGATAGATTATACATAAATGGATAAATGGATGGATAGATACATAGGTGTGTGTGTGTGTGTGTGTGTGTGTGTGTGAGAGAGAGAGAGAGAGAGAGAGAGAGATTTTAAAAATCATTTACATAGCTGTCCATCTTCTAACCAACTGGGTGGCTATGAATGAATGAATGAATGAATGATTCTCCAAATAAATGATATATCACTTTTATAATTCTTTAATGTACTGTTTTATGTCATAAAAGCCCTGCTTGCATCTGTCATGTCAAGTTTCTCAATCAAGATAGATGCTACAGGAAAAATCCCTCCTTTGATGCAGTTGGAGCCTTCCAATTCTCACCTATGCCCTGCATAGTACCAATTCTGAAACAGAAGCTGTGTAGAGCAGCTGTTAAGTGACAGAAGAAATGAGCCTTGGACCACAAGCCTGTCATAAACATTGCACACTTAATCATGGAACATCTGCTTTTCCATTTCTTTTATGACAACCTTTGCCTTGTATTTAATCTAAAGCAGAATGGTTTTCCTAATAGGTGCAACAGTGTTTCACAAATTGAAAAGTCTTCTTGCTAAAAATAAAATACACCAACTACAGGACATTTCAATTAGCAGAACCATTTCTTATTAAATAACGTGGGGGGTGGGGAGAAATAAAAGAAAGAATCACTGTAATTTTTGGCAAATTGGGAGATCGCTCTGCCTTTGTGAAATTTAATTATTAGCAAATTAGTAGTGCAGATGCCAACACAGAATGGATTCCAAGATCCTGCATTATTTTGGCAGATAATGAAAGCTCCTCTCTCCTCTCCCGCTCAAAAAGGCCACCCGTTTTCCCTAAGGACAACGAAGGGACTAAGAACACATTATCAAAGATAGATTCCCAATTTTGATTTTTTACTCATGACACCTATTTACATAAGAAAGTACCTTAAATGAAATAATGGCAAAGTCATATATAGTACTAATCTCTGTTGAACTTCAGGAAGGAATTTTTTTTTTTTTAAAGAAGTGCCAGCAACTGACTTGGCAACTTTCCACCTGCTAAGAAAGTAAATTATAGACTTTCCTTTTAATATCTTACAAGATATGGATGGAGCAACAGATATTCCCAAGGATGCAGTTTAATAACTAAAGTCAAGTGATCTCCTTCTGGCTATCGTCCCAATCTGTGGACTTTAACTTCCAAAATTCTCCAGACAGTGCAAAATTTTAGAAGTGTACGCATGCAGAGAATGCCAATGTTGAAAAAAAAAATATTGTTGGTTCTGGGTTAAGTGTCTTTCAGGAAACATCTTTAAGCAGATTTCCATTTACACTGTGAATTCCAAGCATTATGTGCTGTATGCCTTATTTATTTCTATCATGGTTAACATCTCTGGATGGCTATTTGTATGGAGCTCTGGGTCCTGAATATAGTCCTGAATATTAAAATAATTTTTGCTTTTCATACTGTTTGCCCTTAGAAACAGAAGAACGAGGGGAAAAAAACCTTAAAAATTGTTGGCTTCTGGAGAGTGGCAGATTGAAGTAGGTTGTTTTAACATGACATTATCATTATCATCATTATCATGCAGTAATATACTACCCAAAGGACTTAGATATTTAAATATTTCTATATTGCACTTTTTTTCTTCCTATTTTAAATTAAACTCTCAATGCCAGTAGTATCCATCCTTTTCTCTTTTACCATCACCTCCCCTCATTTATTTTCCAGGCAGGATGTAATTTGTACATTCATTATCCCTTACATTTAATTTTAAGGACAACCAGCCACCTTTCAAAGAAAAAGAGCAAAAATCCACTTTGCACACCTCATGTTATTGTGACTATCACAATTACGCTTCAGCATTAATCCTCCTGATGCAATTTCCTTGCTATGCAGAAGACAGCAAGCATACATTTTCCTTTTCAATGGAAATATGATGTGCACTTGGAGAGAAACTTATGTGACCAAATATTCTGTCGAAAACCTCTTGTTTCCCCTTGGCTTTCTTGTAAGAAATAAGAAAAGGAGTCAGCAGCTTTTGACAGCTACCTTCTTAATGTACAAGAATCTGCAGCATAAAGCAGATTTTGTTTTCTGATTTACCAATCTAACCCGGTGACTTCATTTACAATTACCTCTAATGTGGTTGAATCCTGGTATGAAAACTGCAAAGCCGGGACTCCAAGGTGGTTGATGAAATAATCAGAATCCCCTTGCATTTGAATAGAACTAGCATTGGATTCCATGCATTTCTCTGGCCCAAGACAGGTGAACTTGTAGTTCTGGAACACACAAAACGCAACACACAAGATTAGAATCAGAAAGGGCAGGTGCAAAAAAAAAAAAGAAAAGGTCAAAACAAATTAAAGAAAAATGAATGTAAAGCATCCCGAAACCAGGATAATCCAACGCAGGGTTCACTGTGATGCCTGAACCATTCAAAATCAGGCATGCATCTATCTATCTATCTATCTATCTATCTATCTATCTATCTATCTATCTATCTATCTATCTATCTATCTATCTANTATCTATCTATCTATCTATCTATCTATCTATCTATCTATCTATCTATCTATCTATCTATCTATCTATCTATCTATCTATCTATCTATCTAATCCAAGTACCACACATTCATCACAAAATTTCCAGAAACGGAAAGTCTGCAAACTTGAAATTTGGCACATATGTTCCTCTTGGCTTCTAGGTGCTCACTAAATGACCTTCAGATCATTAGTACTTCCTATACAGTAATTAACACACTCTGACGCTAAGGAGTTCTACTCCCCCTCCCCACCTGAAAAGAACTCTGTTCCAACTGCCAGTTGCCTCACATTCCATTACCTCAGTTCAAACTGGCAGATTTTCCACTCTTTCACTCAGGAGAGTTCTGGGGCTCCTTATACTACTAAACCTCGGTACTTCACCAAAACGTCTATGCTTTCCCCCTATGGAACTGCTTCCAGACTCAAGGCAGCAGGAGCGATATTCCCTTATGTGTTTCAATCACTGACCACCATGAGCCAACAGATTGAATTGGACTGAACCAGATTTCTCCTGCATTGTTCGATCACATAGTTTTGTTGTGAAGCACGGGTATCCAGCTAGTACTGTATAATGATGCCACACTGTTCTGTCTTTGTCCAACCAGAAATATTCATTAAAAAGAATTGCAGACCTCAGTTAGGCCCCAAAGGATGACACAGAGCTGCCTAAAGTCCTTTAGCAATCAATTTTTTAACTTCTTGGCTAAAGGATGTCCATCCTTTTGGATGCCATTTCAACAGCAGGAAAATAAATTCCTAACACTAAATTATTTGCCTCTGTGTTTTGCAGGCCATTTTCTCTGGCTTTTGCTACTCAATCTTCCAATTACTGTAACACTGCCAGATTTTATCAGGCATATGTATGGCATTTCTGGTAGCTACAACCCATCTTTTAAAGGATGTACTCAGAGAGAACACTACTACTAGGGGAATTCATTTTAATTAGAAATTGCTGCTTGCAAGTCTCTTCTTGACAGCAATTTGGTCAGCTTTAATTAAAGGCTCTGGTTCACATTCTATTCTTCAGTAAACAAGCTTGATGAATGCATTGTGATACAATGGCTATACTACTAATTATGGGTGGCAAAATTTAATGGGTTTATCATGCACCCTCTGGCTCAGGGAGGTGCTCTTGTTACTTTTCTTTCTTCCTTCAAAATGAAAGCATAATCCCATTAATCCATGGATTTATGGGTTTGGCTGATATTGCCAAACTTTTCCTGAGTTAATTTTGTTTGTGTTTCCTCTCCTCAATTTCTTTGCATATATTCAAGGTTATGTGAATAGCGGAAACCCGGAAATGATATAGAGTGTGTTAACATTTAAGAAATAATTAAGTCAATTATTACTTATAACATGATGTAAAACAGGTTATTATACTGTTGTGACATATCTATGGGTGTCAATCTATGTCTTGCTTGGCAAGAAAATACCTACGTATTTCCAAACCAGTGGCTGTCATAGATGGAGGTTTTCTTAGATCTAGGACTGAGGTTTCCCTTGGAGCAGGGATGTGAAACTTGAGGGCTGCATCGGGGTTGTGTTTGACTTTGGGGGGCCAGGGTGAGTGTGGCCAGCTTGATGTCACTTGTAATCGGGGGCACTTGTGGTGGCCCGAGCTCTCTGCCAACAAAAATGGGCTCCCAAGCTCCGTTTTTGGCTGCGACAGCCTCCTGCAACCTCCGGCAGTGGAGTTCAGGAGGATCGCATGCCAGTGGTGGGATTCAATTTTTTTTACTACTGGTTCTGTGGCCATAGCTTTGTGGGCGTGGCAGGGGAAGGATACTGCAAAATCCCCATTCCCTCCCCACCTCACTAACCTGCTTTCCAGCTCCGTTCTCCTGTTCAGGGCAACAAAAGAAGATCAGCTGGGAAGCGGCGAGGTGGGGGGCAGCCTATTTGCCGGTTCTCCAAACTACTCAAAATTTCCACTACTGGTTCTCCAGAACCTGTCAGAACTGGCTAAATACCACCTCTGCCGCATGCATGAGCCGGACCTGGCCTGTGTGGCTTGAGTTTTCCCACCCTGTTTTAGAGGATTAGAAGAGGATTTCATCTATACTACCCCAATTGCCCTCTCCTCCTTTTCCCCCTCATTCTGAAAAAGCAAAATCTGCACAATTCTGTTTCATTGCAAAATGAAAAGCACTATCAGAACATCACAACTCAAGCTCCATCCCTTTGATGCAAGTGTGTGATGTTATGGCACAGATTTAAAAAGGGCAGGTTATATATTTAAATTCTGCAAGACCCTCCCAACCCCACCAATTCCAACTTTTAATTAACAATTCTAATTGTCAATCATCACTAGGTGCTAGGGATTCGAACCACCGAATTGCCTACCTTTCTGATTGACAAGCTCAGTGTCTTAGCCATTGAGCCACCACGTCATACATTTATTTATTTATTTATTTATTTATTTATTTATTTATTTTCTATCATTTATTTATTTATTTATTTATTTATTTATTTATTTATTTATTTATTTATAGTCACAACCCCCGGTATGCCCAAATATGGGAGGAA